GAAGTCAGCGCGCGAGCAAAGGCAGTGATCAGATCCTAACACTCTCGCTTGAGCGACCATGGCTTTAGATGGACGCAGCTGCGTTGGTCTGGCGCCTCGAGCACAAGTGGCAGCAGCGGTCCGGCAGAGCAGGAGCGGGGTGGCTCGAGCATGACTCATGGACCGGATCCTCGCGACTTCCAGTGTCTGGCCCAGAAATTTGCCGAAAGGATGCATCCCGGACACCTTCTGGGCGGTACATTTTTGCAATGGATTCGAGCCATGGCACCTCGAGCTACAATCCCGCCACATGGCAGCCGACGGCACCACGCGAGCATGCCGCTCTGCTGGCACTTTCACCACCTTTCCTACGTTCCTATGCGATGCGTGTACAGTACTAGGGCGTGAGCGTGGGAGGCGAGATGGGCGTGGGTAGCGAGTTTCGGGGGAAAATTACTGCCGAAGACAGTCCACTAAACTTTTCATACTTTCGTGGAAAGGCCCTACTTTCAGGGACACCACATCGAAGTTTCGCTTCTCCCGTGGACTCTGTCAATTCTTTCGTGGACTCCCCAAGTTATCTTCCATGGACACATGCAGATTTGCAGTTATAAAGGCGTATACATCGATCTACAAGTGATTATGAGCACAAAAACAGAAATACTGCAGACTACCTGTCCGTCGCAAGTAATCGCGAGCTACAGTGTCCAAAACCAGTTCGGAAATAGAATCTCGGAGGTTTTCATGGAAGAGTCATGCAGCCACACTCAAATGTGCGGTGAACATTCAAACAAATAATGTATTAAGGTCAGTGTGATACGAACACCTATTTTTCAAAGAATAACTAATCAACAAAGGCATAACAGACACGTGCATGATCGAGGGAGCATCAATAAGTGCTTGTTTTTCTCCTTCATAGTACATCTGTTGCCTTTTAGGAACTCTTTGAACGAGGAAATAGAGAGGTTTTACACACACATTTTTTTATTTGCTGATAAAGTATGTTCCTTGTTCAAATCTGAAAAAATCTTCCCAAAAGTGTGAATATAATATAATTGCGATGCCATTTTCTCACATATTATTGCTTGATACAGACAATGCTTTCATTACTTACATTATTATGACCTAAAACCTCCCATTCATACAACCATATTTACCAAATATTTTTGGTATTCCGAGATTTCACAACTTAAAAAAAAACCAAATATTAGTTGAAATATTTGGAAATGCCATAATTTATGGTAATCCTGGTTCGTGGTGTGCAGCAATTCCAAACCTTTATCTTGGGACTACTATGAATCTTTACTGAACTCTATTAACCTTGTAACCATAATATCTATCTTTATTGTACAAGATGAATTTCTTGTAGCAAGATTCAGTGTACTCGATCTGCTATACCCGTTGTTTGACTAATACCATTTCGTCAAAGTCGTTCAAATGAATTTTGAGCATCGATTCAGAGTTTCTTAAATCACGTGGAGCAGCTAGCTGACTTGATGGCCTGTAATTATTGTAGCTTGCGACTACTTGCGAGGGACTTAATGACGCCATAAAAGTATTTTTTCCTCCCGTCAGCACCTGTACAGTGTTGTATACTCTTTTTTGCTGCAAATTCGCTTGTGTCCATGGAAGTAAGCCCGGAGTCCACGAAAGAAATGACAGAGTCCATGGGAGAAGCTAAACTTCAATGTGGTGTTCATGAAAGTAGGGCATGTCCACGAAAGTATGAAAAGCTTAATGGGCAGTCCGCGGCAGTCCCGGGGTTTGGCATCGAAAAAATGTGGAATCCACTTTTGGTACTAGTGTACGTTCGTCCAACCAGCTTGAAAATTCATAGAAGTGAGTACCGATGCAGAATCGACTTTAGAACGTGGAACATACAGTTACGGAACCAGCAAAGTTCGAACTTCGGAAGAAGTGGAGTGCGGTTTAGCAAGTTGCAATTTAACTCTAGAAAGTTCTAAATGGTTTTAGAGTGGTTAAAGTACGAACTTGAGAGATCATAACCATATGTTCCACGCCCTAAACTCGATAGCTCTTGCACTACGAAATGTAACTAATTTACTGTAATTTTAACCGCTTATATCAACTCTCTATTTATTTTTCCAATCATGGTAATATAGAAAATTATCCATGTGGGATTTTATTGCACATATATAGAGTGCACACCCATTAGATGTCTAAGGATGAGCAAACGGTACACGATATGATCGATAGTGTCGACATCTGTAAGAGCATGGCTCACGCGCTATTTACTGTGCACAACTACCGCTCAGCTCGTATATAAATTTTCCATGATATTCGGACCGAAGCCTAAAGGGGGAGCCACCTGATTTGTGGGTGCTCCTGCTGATTCATCTTGAGCAGGCTCTAAGATTGGTTTTGGGTGACGCTTATTCATCGTTATTGCCCCCTGGAAAAAAGGCTGAATTTTTGGCTGCTTTTGCAGCCTTGCGCCTGGAAAAAAAGGCTGAAATTTTGAATGTTACAAAAAAAAAAAAAAAAAAAAAAAACAAGAGTCGACGGAATCGTCTTAGGGTTGCATAGTAATCTTTGCTCTATTTGCTCTTTTATTGGATCAACATTTTTTTGTATCACATTCTAAAAGCATGCATAAACGTGTAATTTACGCAGTGTTATTTTACGTTTACATTGGGATAATAATGCTTTAATATAATGCAATTACATTATGAGTGTGGTTGTGCATAATGAGTATTTCGTTGTTTACACATGTCCCTATTTCTCATTACAGTGCCTCGGTTTTGCAGCTAATTTTCTCCGGTGAGAGAGAGCTAGCTCGGAAGCCTGTACCCTAAAAAGACTTTTCCCCAAGATTCAAACCCTGGTCTACAGTAAGAAATATTTTACAACCTATTGGGTCAAACAATCTTATTGTCAACTTATATATTATTTATATATATTTGTGTAGGCTTGGTAGGTGTTAGGTGTCCTACAATGGATAAGACTGTAGAGGGTATAACACTCTTCTTGTATCCCTCTCTTCTAGTCCAACTCTCTTTTCTCTCCTCACTTTTCTCCCTAGCTAAAACCTCTCGCCATTCTTATGCCTAGCTAGCTTCTTAGCTCCTTTGAACATGGTTTCAGAGCAGGAAGATCCTGCTGAGCCCCCTATTCACGCTTCCGCCGCGTACTCTCTCCTCTCCTTTCACTTTCGCGCCGCCACGGCGGCTTCCATGTGCTGCCGCGGCGACCTCGTCTCGCCGCGCTGCCACGGCGACCTCGTTGAGCAGCCGTGGCGGCCTCGCCGCGCTGCCGCGGTGACTTCGACGCGCTGCCGTGGCCGCCACGTCCTGCTGCCATGGCGGCCTCGCCGCGCTGCCGGGGCGGCCTCGCAGTGCTGCCGCGGCGGCTTCGATGCGCCAGCGCACGAACGGCTGCGGCCAGCGCGCTGGTTTAGGCGCGAGCCAGCATGCCCGCATGCCAGCAAGTGCCGCGCCAGCCACGGCGCCTCGCTGAAGACACGCCCCCTCCCCTGCGTCTCCCCTTTTCCCAGCCGCAGCTGATGGCTCCCTTCCTGGTCGTCGCCGGGCCGTGCCACACCGCCGGGTGCCGTGAGCTTCGTAGTCGCCGCCACTGTCGTCGAAGCCACCGCCGCCACTGCAGGTGCCGCTGGCTCCGCCGCCACCTGCCACCGCCACCGCTTCTGCTGCCGTCCTAGAAGCCGCCGCTGACGCCATTGCTGCCATGCGCCGCCGATGTCGCCGCTTCGCACGAGGGGTAGTAGCCACACCTGCTGCAGGACATGGGGTTGCAAGGGCTTGGGGGTGTTGCGTGTGTGGTGTGCCAGCGCCTACCAAGCCTAAGGGGGTATGTCAACTTATATATTACATATATATATATATATGTGTAGGCTTGGTAAGTGTTAGGTGTGCTACAATGGATACTACTGTATAGGGTACAACACCCTTGTTGTATCCCTCTCTCTTCTAGTCCAACTCTCTTTTCTCTCCTCACTTTCCTCCCTAGCTAAAACCTCTCGCCATTCTCATGCCTAGCTAGCTCCTTTCAAGACTCATTTCATTGTTTTGATTCAAATTACCAATATTGTGTTTTCGTTCCTTCGCTTCTCCCTTCCCGTCGTTCTTCTTCTTGAGAGGTCTCATTCCTCTTTAGAGAAGCAGCTAGTTCTCAGCCCATTTTTGCTCGTGGTCTTAGCTCTTTGCCACTGCTATTGCTGCATAGGCTATCAGTTTTTTTCGTCAAGTCTGATGACTCTGGCGCAAGACGCCATGCACGCTGATGCCATGTCGCTGGCGCCTAGCGCGGTGACAGCGTGCATGACGTCGTGCCCGCCGGCTCGCGTCTAACACTGGCTGGCGCCTACCGTGCGTGCTGGCTCGCGCCAAGCGCTGGCCGGCGCCGTGCGTACACACGCTGGCGCCAGCGAGCGTAGAGCTGTGCGTACTTTCGGGCGCGGTATGTGTGGCGTTGTGCCACGCAGTTGGTGCTGCGATGGGAACCAGAGGAGGGAATGGGGGGAATGAGGAAGAGCATGTGCAGCGTTACGGGTGAAAGAGCATACCCGTCCGCTTGTGTTTTCTTTCTTCACTTGATTACTTCTTTAGCATTCAAACATTCATTTGTTCCTGTTCGTTCACTTCCCATTCTCTCCTCTCTTTCCCTTTTTTGCCTTCCCCTTTCGGAACATCGACTTGTCTTATCCAGGCATGTAATTGTTCTCGTTACTTTTTTTTGGTAATATTCATAGTTTCCCTGCCTCTTTGTATCCATGCGCACTTAGTTTTGCTGTTGCACACCCATTCTTCCCCCTTCTGCTCTCCCGCCGTCCGTTCTTTCCCCGTCCATTCTTCCCTTGTCAGTTCTCCCCCTGTCCGTTCTCCCGCTGTCCGTTCTCCTGCCATCCGTTCTCCCCCGTCTGATATTCCCCCGTACGTTCTCCCCCTCGTCCGTTCTTCCCCCGTCCGTTCTTCTCTCAACCGTTCTTTCCCCGTACTGTATGCCCCCCTCTGACCCCCCCCCTTTTGTCTCTCCCCCCTCGTCCCTCCCCCTTTGTCGTTCCCCCTCTATTCCTCCCCCGTGGTGTTTTTCTTCCTCCCGTTGTCTTTCCTTCTCCATTCGCCTCTCTTGGTCCCTTTGTCTTTCCCCTTCTGATTTTCCTTCCCTTTTCCTTTCCCTTCCGTTCTTCCTCCCGTTGTCTTTCCCCCTCCGTTCCCCTCTCTTGGTCCCTTAGTCCTTTCCCTTCTGTTTTTCCTCCCCTTGTCATTTCCCCTCCGTTCTTCCTCCCGTTGTCTTTCCCCCTGCTTTCCCCTCTCTTGGTCCCTCTGTCTTTCCCCTTCTGTTTTTCCTCCCCTTGTCCATTCCCCTACACTCTTCTTCCTGTTCTCTTTCCCCCTCCGTTCCCCTCTCTTGGCCCCTTCGTCTTTCCCCTTCTGTTTTTCCTCCCCTTGTCCTTTCCCCTCCGTTCTTCCTCCCGTTGTCTTTCCCCCTCCTTTTCCCTCCCGTCCTCTTTCCTCCCTCTGCTGCGTCTCTCTCTCTCTCTCTCTCTCTCTCTCTCTCTCTCTCTCTCTCTCTCTCTCTCTCTCTCTCTCTCTCTCTCTCTCTCTCTCTCCCTCTCTCTCTCTCTCTCTCTCTCTCTCTCTCTCTCTCTCTCTCTCTCTATCTCTCTCTCTCTCTCTCTCTCTCCCTCTCTCTCTCTCTCTCTCTTTCTCTCTCACTCTCTCTCTCTCTCTCTCTCTCTCTCTCTTTCTCTCTCTCTCTCTCTCTCTCTCTCTCTCAATCTCTCTCTCTCTTTCTCTCTCTCTCTCTCTCTCACACACACACACATGCAGCAGGAAGTACTGCAGCTGGGTGTGTTGGCCTTGCCCTCACATCAAGCCTCCGGACACAGGAGGATCATGGCCCATTATCAGCAAACAGGACCGGGGCAGACCTAGGCCGCTCACCTACTGTAAGTCAATGAGCAAGAGCGTCAACCAGCGGAACTCCTGAGCGGCCATAGCGCCAACATAGATCTCTGCCTCACAACTGGACTGAGCTACAGACCACGACGTAGTGGATCGCCACAAGACTGCACCCGCACCAAGACTAAAGTAGTAGCCCTATAAGGTCCTGAGTGTTGCTGCAGGTGGAGGAACAGCGTCGACATGAGTGCCAGTGGATCTTTACGATGCCATCTTTGCCTCCATGGCCTGTATCCACTTGCCTGCCCAGGGCCCTGAGACCGCCTCAGCATACGAGCGCATGGTAGGGATGTTCAGGGCGTCCGTATCACCCTTGGGAAATACAAGCATGGCGTAGAGATGAGGTACAGCAGCCGACCACGTTGGCCTTCCGCTCCAACGGGAAAACCGTGGTAAACCGTATGAAGTCGTCGACCACAACCAGGAAGTAGCGATCCTCGTGAGGCCCATGGACCTGGGCGGGGCCCTAGACGTCCATGTGTAGAGTCTGTAGGGGAGCAGTGGTGGGATCAAACGAAGTGGAGTGAGAGGCATTGCGCTGTCGGCCCTCGAAACGGTAGGTACACGCAGGGGCGAGCGACGTGAGGAGACCAGTGACTAGACCGTGGTGTACCATGTGACGCATACGCAGGAGACTAGGGCGACCTAACTGGTGGTGCCACAGGAGTGTCAGGTGGGTGAGGGAGCGATAGGAACAAGACGTGGCAACCTAGGTGGACGCGGCTACTTGGGGGGACTCTGTGTGCAGTGTAAAGAGACCGGACGTAGGGTCACGGTCGAAGCTGGCAAGATGGGCGTCTGTGGCGGCATCCGTATAGGCTGCATGCCTCTCATGGCCAGGGGATGTGATGGTGACACTGAGGTCCTGAATATGACCAACACTAATCAGGTTCCTAGAAAACGTGGGGATATGCAAGCCGGTGGCGGAGCCGGACGGGACAGCCAGATAGGGGAGGGCAGGGGTGTTGCGGGCGATGACTGCGACAGGCGAGTTTGCGAGGGAAATGTGTACCGATGTAGGAAGCGTTGTGAGTGCAGTGCGGTCCTGGAAGAAGCAGTGAGATGCGCCAGAGTCCAATGTGAAGGAGAGCGTCGCCGTAACAGGGCCCGGCGAGGAGCCTAGTCTATACACACTCGGGCCCCAAGAGGAGCCACGTGTGCCCCAGGGCAGCGACTGCCCTGGGGCCCTACCACCAGGGCCCGCACTACGCCCAGAACTCCCTTGACCCCACTGCGGCTGCTGCTGCTACCGCTGAGTCTGCGGCGGCAATTGCTGCTGCTGCTGGGCTACTGTTGCTCCCCCCCCTCCTCCGCACCTGCCCCTATGTTAGCTTCTGGGGTCGCACCAGTGCTCCGACCGTATAGGTTATAGCTAAGGGCTGCACCTAGCTAGGTTGTAGTTGATATATATTCATAACACACACAGACATATATATATATATATGTATGTATATGATCTCTAACATCTACATGGATTATTCTATACCAAAGATGTCTAAGCTGCACTCAGCCCATTACTATGTGAGAGTTGGTCGGAGACTGGATTCCAGTTACAAACTTCATCCTGTAAGTTTCTAACACTTAGTGGTTGGACACTTGCTCGTGAAACTTTCTGGTCATCCATGGGATCCCCATGCCACTTAGTGATTGAAGCGACTGCGCCTCCATTCTCTGGGCTATAGACATAGGTAGACGTAACTCGAGACCAGCCACCTAGATATCAGCCTTTTTACGCTGATTCAGCCTTATTCCAGCCTCTTTTTTTTTTACCCATGCTGAACTCTAAAATGTATTTAGATAGGTAAGGCTAACGAATTCGGCCTGTTTTTTTAGTGATAGCTGATGATTTCAGCATTTTTGGTGGGGTGTAGGCTGATTTTTTAGAGAAGTCTCTAAGGGGTAGTCTAAAACCGAGTACAGTGAGATTCGCGCCCCCCCGTGATTACCGCATCGAGTCACACATGCCTTCAAGGGAGTTTTTTGTTGAAGTCCTCGAAAACCACTCACACCCCCCTCATACCCTCGGCAACCCAAAAGATTTTGTCGAAGTCCTCGAAAACCAGTCACACCCCTCTCATACCCCAGGCAACCAAGATTTTGTCGAAGTCCTTGAAAACTAGTCAAACATCACTCATACCCTCGGCAACCCGTAAGAATTTGTTCGAAGTCTTCAGAAACAAGTCACTCGCACCCCTCCCGTACCTCCCACAACCTAGGAGAATTTGTCCAAGTCCTTAGCAACCAGTCACACCCCATTCATATCCCCCGCAACCAGTAACACCCCTCAAACTCCCCTTCCCCCCCCCCCCCCCCCTCCCCACTTGCCCTAAATAGTCTGTCGAAACCAAAACTATCGCAACTGGCAAGTAATCAAATCAGACATGTTCCTCCCAGACCCCTGCGCCAGACGGCTGGCGTGCAAACGCCTGGGCTTCTAGCATGCGATTGCTTATTGAAATTTACTATTCCGCAAGCCAATCACTGGCATTTCAAGTGCATCATACAATAATTAACCCCGTTATTAAAAGTCAATGCAAATTCCCGAAGAATCGTTTACATGTGCATCAGACGTTTTTTTCATAACTATCGCTGATAGAACACCGATTTTTGGGTTGCAGGGCAACCTATTGTGACCGATCAGACGAGTTTTTTTTTTTTTTTTTTTTTTTTTTTTTTGGGTTGCAGAGCAACCTATTGCGATCGATCGGACGAGTTTTTTTCTTAAGTGTTATAAAAAATGATTATAATCAAGTAAAAATGTGGGGATTAGTGGGCGATATATTCGGGATAGTTCATTTAAACTATCTAGATTCATTAGCTTCACTATGTAAAAAGTTAGATGATTTGCCATGTCATAACTATAAATTATATTCTACTTGAGAATAAACAATGATGGAAAGCATCAAATGTGTTGAAGTTTTCCATCATTTCCCATTTTGAGTTTTGAAAAATAAAAGGGCTATCTCTTCCCAAACAATCTGAAGAGGAGTTCCCAAAATATGTGTAATATAGTGTAATATATTCATTACACTATGTCATTAGCAATATTATTATGGAAAACTAAAAAAAAACTTAAATGTTTTCCATAATTGTCCGTGACGTGTTTTTGTCGACGACAAAAATAGGCAATCGCTTCCCCAGCTAAGTGGGGGAAGTCGAAAGCTTAATGGACGAATCACACAATATATTTTGAGGCAATACACTTCATGACTGCAAGAAAATGGATTGCACTCATTATCTCCAGTTCAAATGACTGCACTCAAGGTGGAAAATCAAAGAACCTTACTTGAGACGATCAATACAACCCACTTTTTTTCATACACAAAATGCACCACGTGTCTATCAAGCAAGCAGTAGCAGAATGGAAAAGGGTCGCAATGCAAAGCAAATGAAAAGGAACACTGTTACAACACACGGACTCTAAAATGCATCAGGAGAAAGAGATGCAAAAACAAGTGGAAAACAAATACCGGTAAAACGTGTTATTCAACAGTCTATTGTAGATAAAACCACAGTCGGAAACCAGATATCTCTTCCACAAGCATTCCTGAGGCACGAACACACGTGGGAAAAGAAGAGAGAGAAAATGAAAAGAACACAAGTTAGTCGAGAAAAGAAGGCATGATAGAACAGGGGAACCAAGGATTGAAGAAAAGAATGACATATCAGACAGAGGTAAAAAATGGGACAAGAGAGGTTGAGAGGGAGAGAGGGGGGGGGGGGGGGGAAGAAGATGAGAATACCGGAGAATATGAGAATGGGAGAATGTGGTTAATGGGAGAATGAGACAATGAGAGAATCATAAAACCAGAGCATGAGAGAATGGTCAATGGGAGAATTGAGACAATGAGAGAATCAGATAAGTAGAGAATGAGAGAATGGGGGAGGGAGAGAACAATGGGAGAATGAGACAATGAGGGAACCAGAAAACCAAATAATGAGAGAATAAGAGAGTGAATGGGAGGAGGGAATGAAGAAACCAGAGAATGAGTGAGTGGGCTAATGTGTGAAAGGAGTGGGAGAATGCGAGAATGAGATATCGAGAGCATTAGGAAATTAGAGAATGAGAGAATGCTGGTCCATGCCTTAGTGTTGTCACGAGTCGTACCCTCTCGGCATCGTGCGCGCATGTAGTTCATCCGACGGCTGCAAAGTAGATCTCCACTGCCACGAATCAACACCTGGTGTGCAGTTGTCAACAGATGCGATGCCAAATTCTGTTACGGGGTGGCGAGCAAAGTCACTCGCGGTAACTCTGTTCACCACGTGCTCAGCCGGTGGTGCTGTCATGAGTACAACAACGTATGCAAAGTGCTGCTCAATGTATCCCTTTTGTTCGGAACCATGCGAGGGTCTGGTACCATAAGCGCGGAGCTGGTAACTTCCAGAATCGGCGCCAAAGTAGTTTTCCTCGGCAATTGCTCAAGCAAGGAATCTCAGTTGCGTAGATATCCCACGTTGATGGGTTAGGTCATCTGGGAATTTTAGGGCTATTTCGAAGACGTCTCTGTTACTCAGCATCACTGTTGAAGGCTGCTCCATTTCGGCAAATATGGGTGTTGTTGGATATTCACGAAGTCCACTATCCGGAGTGGTGTCGGCACTCCATTTCATGCCTATGTGCTTCCGTGGAGGTGATGCTAGTGATGGATTGGTTGCGACGCAGGTTTCATGACTTTAAGAAAGCCATAGGCCATAAGGACTTGCATACCGGTAAAGTACCATAGTCTCCCCATCCTCATAAAAACAAGCATCTCCTGCTCTTGAGGGTATCGGGCATTGCCATAGCTATTCGAGTGCATAGTGGTATCTCCTTCCCACTAGCTTGAAATCATAGTATTGTGCCTGGCCGGGTGTTTTATGATCATACTGGAATATGATCCAGTGTTATCTCCATTGAGCGGAGAATTATCCATTAAAGCCGCGGTACACATTCAACAAAATTTCGATCAAGTGATAGACATTTGAAAGAGGGTTACTGGGTTGTTTCTTCCTTTGAAGTTGTAATCTCACCAGCCTAGGTAAACCTTTGACAGAGCAAGATGTGGCAATTGTGTACTGAAATTCCCACAATCACGCAGGAGAGTTCTGCCCCGTCACGCCCTTCCGATCTCCCCCCCTTCCATGATTTCGTTCCCCCCGCCCCACGCCATTCCGACACTTTCCCCACAGCCCCGTTCGACATTTCCGAATCTTTCCCTCCAACTCAAATTCGTTTCCCCCAACCCTAGCAATTTCAGACTCCCCCCTTGTCACAGGATCGAATGAGGTTTAGCTTGATGTTCCACTATCAATCAATACAAGGTGCTTTTATACTTCCAGAGTACATCAGGTAACCAGGTTTATCCTATCCAAAGGGAATAGACCCTTCTAGAAATAGAATCACCCTGCGTATAGCCATGCGAGGCTATTGGCTATAAGGGATTACGGCAGGATTACGCTAGATATAGCGCGCCAGTACATCCCGAGCCGGGTCGGTGATATAATTATAATAACGAGATAAACCAAAGGATAATGGAAAAGGAGGAATAGGAAACCAAATGAGATGAGATCAAGACCAAATGAATCAGGAGTGAAAGAGGAATGAAATAGAAATGAAATATGGAAAGGGGAAATTAGTGTAA